CCCCCACGGCTGAAAGGGCGAGCATATTTGGTGAGATGGGGATTCAAACCCGCGACCTAACCACCTGGCAACTACTAAGGTATGTTTAAACGGCAATACAAAATGAAACAATAGGTTTAAAGGAAAAGGGTGCATTTCACAGTTAATATTATCGTTTGAAGCTTATAACATCACACGCATAAGCGAATATTTACAATGTGGTGGACTACCGATTAGAAAAATCTATTGGATCTGAAAACATCCATTCTAAACCAAAATTGGGGGAAAATGGTAATTCAAAAATTCGAGTACGTTTACAGGCACGAATTAAAATATAAAGTGAGAACCAAATTCGTAAATAAATTTGACAGTGATGCCCCCTCTCATGACTATCAGTTAGCTGATACTTGAGTGTCGATTAGCGATCCAATATGAACGGAGCACCTTATGAACTGTAACGTATTAAACCAACTACGTATTTATATACCGTACACGCCTAGTTTTAAAAATAATTTAATCATGATCACCAAGTATCCAAAGATATAAACATAGATCCAATGCCCTTTGTATCCCTGGTGTGCTTTTTTTGTATGCTTGGCGTGTTTTTGGCTTGATACAACATATTTCTGTACAGCCTCTAATCCTGTTATGTATACTTGGAGTGTTTCTGGCTTTATACAACATGTTTCTGTACAGCCTCTAATTCTGTTATGTGTACTTGTTGTGTTTCTGGCTTGATACAACATATTTCTGTACAGCCTCTCATCCTGTTATGTATACTTGGTGAGTTTCTGGCTTGATATAACATATTTCTGTACAGCCTCCCATGTTGTTCCAGACTAGTAGTACTCGTATCTTCTTTAGTTAAGGAAAACAATTTATTTGTTGGAGTTTTGACTGTAACTATGAACATATAAAAATCAGTAGCATTACTACTATACAAATTGCACAAATTCCTGATATCTTTTGACACAATGGTTAAAATCTAATAATTTTAGAAAATCTTGTAAAATCGCTATGTCAAACATAGAATAGTTAAGTTGAAACTTGAATTTATGTAGCTTATCTACTTTAGTTGATTTGATTTGATGGGCTTTTCTAAGACGTCTGTTCACATGTCCCATGAAAAATGTAACTAAACGAGAACACGTCTTCCACTACGAGAGATGGTGGTCACTAAATACCGGTAACATACCAAGAAAAAAAAGCAAATAGATAAACTGGTTCTTTGAAGTCTTGGTACAAATTAAAGTAATTAAAAACACTAATGTATTGTAACTAATGGCATAATGTTTTACTATAATGGAGAACTGTTATATAGTTTGTATTACCTATAGTAAAAGTTTAAACTGATGGAAGTAAAGATAAAGGCGAGTAATATACTATAGTTGTTCATTATTTCCTTAATTAATTTCTAAGAAATTAAAGTTTAGGGTGTATTGAAAGTTTTGAAAGATCGTGATATTCTGTAAAATCTTTAAATCAATAATTGGTAATACGAAAACTACTGAATTTCTTGGGAAAATGAGTGAATTTGGTGTTCAAAATGAAGAGGTAGTAACATCGTGTGCTTCTGATGGTTGCAGACTTCTCTTAAAATGATTTTTTATTGGTTGTTTTTAAAACCTAAATCCTGATCGGCTTAATTAGCTGGATGGCCGGCCTTAAAATCCCTATTAAACTTGATAAGAAGGATTGGCTTTTTCTCTTGTTTCTATTGCAAGTATAGAAAAAAAAAAGACTGAAGAAAGAAAACTTCTCTGTGCCTCACATCGACAAATGGCATATAGCAGAACAAGATTTTTCAGCATTTTGCTACAAAAATATGCAGTTTTTTGTGAATTTGATGCCCAAAACAGAAAATAAAGATAATCATATAAACATAAATACTTTAATTGTTCAAAATGTTTGAAAAGCCATAGCCGCCTTTTCTTTCTCTAATGAACCGTCACTAATGTCCAGTTACTTTTTTCTTATTCTTAACATGTTCGCTGTTGTTACCACTTTTAAACAGGATTATTTTAAAATTCTTTTTTTAACTCCATTTATGTAAAACTTTATTGAGCAATTTACTAATTACTTGTTTAGTATGTCTCCAATGAATCTTATGGCAATTCCAACGAATTGGGGGGGGGGGGGTGGAGTGTAAGAAAATTAATTACATTTGCATTGGCAATGGAAAAATGTTGTATTACTTCTCCAAAACCTTACACAGAAAGCTTGTTAAGTTGAAAGAGGGATGACTATAGCCAAATCCCAAAAATCAGAAAATGACCAAAAGAGATGGTGTAACATCTTGCAACAGATAACATCCAATCGAATACATATACTTCCGGACCAATGTAGAATTATTTTGAGTGATAACACAGTGGAATTTCTATTAGTACTTCATCTGACCATGTCTATTATTAATAAAGAAACATGTGGATATCCTAGAGTGATGAAAAAACATATAGATAAATCAACTACAGCTTCAACACTGAGTTGCAAGATCGAAAGAGGGAAGGAATAAATATTTCCTATTCATTTTCCAAATACTGCCACAGATGACCTTTGAACTGTTTGTGGCAGAAAAGATTGATTCAACATTCTCTCTAGCTCTAATGTCTGATCTGCTGAGACTGCACTCGAGTATCCAAACATGTCTTTTGGCAGCATGGATCCACCAAGAATGAGAATAATGTGGAAAATATATGGACAATACAATCTATCATTGCTCTACAAAACTATTCGTTGATTTAAAGTGATAAATGGCAGGGTCAAGCTCTGACAAAGGCTTTAGTCGAGGGCCAGTCAAGAATCTCAAATTTCCACCACAGCACACAAGTCAAATGGCTCTGCTTGTGGCCAACATTTCTTGGAATGATGGGAACTGACACATCAACAGCAGAAAAGTAAAGTGTGGGACTTAGAAATATGTCATTTCTTCAGTGTAAAAAAGGAAAATTGGAGGTACAAGGTTACATGTTTCACAGTTCCCCACTCTCTTTTCATATCAATGCTGCCAAAACTTAGTACTGTTCCCCTTAAACGTACTCAAAGAATAACAAAACGAACGAAGGACGAGGTAAGGAAAGTACT